GGCAAGGGCAAAGGTGGCAAGAAGCCACGACTCAACTTCTGGGTCGAGCAAGATGGTGAATGGGGCTTGCTTGCCATCGAGGACTCCGAAGGTCAAGAATGGATGGAAGATGGACAAGTCCATTGGGTTGGCACGAACATCGGCCACATCTATGCCCAGACTACTTTGCCGTCTACCTCATCGACATGGGAGGATGGTGACGATGCTGAGGCCGATGGGTTTTGGCATCAAGATGATCGTGGTGGCTACACCTGGTGGCAGCAGGAAGCTGATGGCGAGTTCTACCACCTGGACAATGGTGGAACCTACTGGCCGTGGTCTGAGCAGGCCTTCTGGAGTGCCACCCCCGAGGAGCAGAAGGAGATCCAAGAAGCCTACGCCGCCTATGAGAACAAGGTCCGTTCCTTCACCGACAGCCGGGCCTTGATGAAGCACAAGACCCTGAGCCGAGGGTTCTATCCCAAGGGAAAAGGCAAGAACAAAGGTGGCTTTGGCAAGGGAAAAGGTTTTCAACGACCTCGCCCTTCCTCCTCTTCGAGTTCTTCGACGAACACCGCCTTCGCAGCCCAATGATGTCATGGCCAACTCTGGCAAGGGCTACACTTCAGGATGCTTCATTTGTGGCAAGCCTGGCCACGATTTTCGCTCCTGCCCTGATAAGGTGAAGGGCTCTGGAGGAAAAGGCAGTGGGAAGATCTACATGGTGGAGCCCGTCGACGATACTGATGAGTATGGCCGCTTCACCGTCTTCAAGAACTATGACTCCGTGCCGGCAGCTGTCCCGACCTTGATGGCCGAAGTGGCTGCACCTGATGCTGAGGGCTATGCTGTCCTCGACACCGGGGCCACGGAGAGTGTGGGCTCTCTGCAATCCCTCGAGAGGATTCACCTTCGCAGGACTGAGCTCCTTGGTGATGTAAGTTCGATTGAGGTGATCAGAGGTCCACAGAAGATGTTCAGGTTCGGAAATGGCAGCATGCAACAATCTGAGTCATACATCCACCTCAAACAAAACGTCGGCACACATGAAATCAGCATCGGCATCTACACACTCGATGCGCAAGGAGTGCCGCTGCTGATAGGAGTCCGTACTTTGGACCGATTAGGAGGCATTCTCGACACTGAACAGAGTGTCATGGTCCTGAAAGCAGTTGATCCAACTCTAGTCATCCCACTCAGAAGATCAAGATCAGGTCACCTGTTAGTCAACCTCTGCAGCAACTGGCTTTCGGGCGGCGCCAAGATCCTTTTTCACGAGGCAATTTCCTCACCGACCACTTCTGAGGAAAAAGTGTTCGTCGCCGAGAGCTTTGAGAAGTTCGATGCACTTCACTCCCCCTCATGTCACTCTTTGAGCACAACATGTTTTTCCACGTCTAGGACATCCATTTCACCTTCCCCGCTCACGTCGGCTGTTTCGAGTTCCTTTTGCACTTTGAGTTCATTTGCACGCAGTGATGTTTTTGTGATTGATGAAGTTCATGAAGAAAGCCTTCCAGTCATTGAAGCTGTACATGCCACTTTGCAGTCACACACGTCCATGTCAAATGATTTGGAAAGTGAGCACCTTTCATCAGCACTCACGGCACCGACCTTTTCATCTCAAGACGAGCGGACAGGCGTGTCCCTCAGTTTGAAGATCCTGGCCGTCCTCAGCTGTTCGACCTTCCTCTTCTCCGACCATGGCCACATCGTCGGCTCCGAGCGCCGCTGGGAAGAAGGAGACGAAAGGCAAGACCAAGGTCGCCCGCAGCTTCGAGGAGAAGTACGACAACAGTCGCACGATTGGTGCAGATCCCAGGGACCCTCGCACGGAGGGATCACCGTGCCACGGGAACCACAAGGTGGCAGCCAGCTACCGTGGAAGTGTCACGGGGAGCAACGGCCATGCAGCATGGACCGGTTGCGAGACCTGCAAGCTGAGGCTCACCTACACCCCGGCCTTCGGAGCTCACGCCTTGAACCGAGCACCAGGCCCAGTTCCTCAAGACGTCAAGCAGCAGGTCAAGACCCTGGACAACGAAGCTGCGCACAACCCCCTTCTTCGAGACAAAGCGATTGGGTTGGACGGGGCCGAAGCTTCCGCTTTGCGCCAGCTGGAGAAGATCCGTGCGAAAAAGGAGGCCTTGAAGAAGAGTGCCAAGGAAGACAACCCTCAAGAGACCACACCTCGCAAGACCCAGGGCTACATGCCTCCAGAGGAGATGAGCCACACTCCAGGCCGCAAGGAGCGCAAGTCCGATCAGACGCCCGAAGACCTGGAGTACGAGGGTCGTCTCAAGCCTTCATGGAGCACTATCTCATCGGGTTCTCCGGCAACTCCCGCGGCAGCTTCTCCCAGCCAGTGAACTCGCCCTCCAACGAGGGGCACTCCATCATCGAGAATGACATGACGGCGGACGAGAACTATAACCAGGACCAGGCGGAGCCCATGATCCTGGAGGCCACCGAGATCGAAGGAGTGCGAGAAAGGAGGACAGGCCAGCGCCGATCTGTCTGATGAGAAGGAACCACTCTATGACATCCACGAGTCAGACACCGAGATTTTGGACTATAGCACTGACCATTTGAACGTGGATGAAGTGGATTTTTCAAGAATGCAGTAAACGACATCCAGGAAGAGATTGATGCACGCCAAGCACCTCCGACAAGAAGGCTGACTTTGTTGAATTGTGCTGTGAGGAGCACAGCCTGATGTCAACTGCTTGGGAGCGCACTGGAGGCACTGCAGCTCGCATTGGTCTTTTCAACAACTGCAATCTCCTCACGGAGAACGGAACCCAGCGAGCACTGCAGGTGATCGACTCTCACCGACCAAAGGTGATGTGGATCTCATTCCCTTGTGGAGCTTTCTCTTCGATACAGAACCTCAATGAATTGACCCCTGAAGGTGTCGCCCGTGGAAAGATGCGAAGAAAGAAGGCTCGGAAGTTGATCAGGAATGGCATCCGGGTCATCGAACGACACCTCCCTCGGCGGGGAGATCTTCCAAGAGTGGCCACGTCACAACTCTGGCTGGCAACTTCCAGAGATTCGTGAACTGTGGACCGCCCTCCTTGACCTGGGTCGCTTCGAGGAGATCCACCTGGATGGATGCATGTTTGGGCTTTCCACCAAAGTTGGCTTGATCAAGAAGCCATGGAAGATTCGCTGCTCTCGTCCTGGTTGGCTGACGCCTTTAGCCAGGAAGTGTGATGGAACCCATGCTCACATTCCAGCTCTTGGAGGCACCATTGCCCGACAGACAGCTCTCTACACTCCAAAGCTTTGTCGTGCTGTTTGCTCCAACCTTCAACGTGGACTTCATGAAGCAGCAGCTTTTGGAACTACTGAGGTCCGCTTCAACAAGGAGGATCTGAAGACCTTGACGGAGCAAGAGCTGAATCGACTGATTGCCACTGCCCTCAAACTACATCGACTGTGCGGCCATCCCAACAACAGAGCACTGGTTCGCAACCTGGCCACACGAGGTGCTGACAAACACCTTCCCAATAGACCAGGTTAGACAAAAAATGGTCTAATAGACAACTTTCTTAAAATTCGTCTATTAGATAAATTTTTGTGATTTGTCTTAGACAACTTTTTGTGACGAAAAATTATCTAATAGACAAAACAAAAGTTGTCTAATAGACAAAATACTGCTGTCTTAGACAAATTTTCGCGGCTGCAAACGAGGAAATTTCAAGGAAATTTCCTCGAAACTACCTCGTCTTTTTTTCAAAACTTCCACCTAATTTCCTTCAAACTTCCTTTCTTTTTGTAGCAGTTTGGAGGTAGTTTGATTGAAGTTTGTAGGCAGTTTCAACCTGCAAGTGTGGAAGTTTGTCATGCACATGGACTGAAACTGCTGTAATATGCAAATTTTGTAACATAAACTTCCTCATGCCTATGATGAAACTGCAAGTAAACTTCCTCAGTGCCTGTGGTAGTTTTGAGGAAGTTTTGATTTGTCTGAGACATTTTTTTGTCTCAGACACAGCCAAAAATAGTCTAAGACTGTTTCTTCAAAATAGACTTAGACAAATTTTGAAAAGTTGTCTTAGCCAAAAATCATGTTGTCTTAGGCAACAAAAAAGTTATCTAATAGACAATTTTTTACAAAATAGATCTTAGACAAAAAATAGTCTAACCTGGTCTATTGGGTTCTAGCAGTGGCCAATGAGCTGAAGTGTCCCGAATGTCATGAAGGCCAGATGGCTGTTCCTGCCGTGAAGGCATCACTGGAGAAGGAAGAACAGCTCTGGCGCACCCTGCAGATGGACACCTTCCACCTCAAGTATGAGGGCTTCACCTACCACTTCCTCCTCATGCTGGACGAAGCTTCTGGTTTCTCTGTGGTTCACCTGGTGATGTACCACTTGTCGGACGAGCACGCCAACATCACCTCTGCCCAGGTGATCGATACCCTTCAGCGGTGCTGGGGCCAATACTTTGGCCTTCCTGAGAGGATCCGCTGCGACCTGGAAGGGTCTTTCAGAGGAGAAATGGTAGAAGACTTCTGCCATTCCCGTGGCATTGAGTTGAGCTTCGTCCCTGCAGAGCACCACGAGAGCACTGGCGATGTTGAAAGGATGATCGGTGAGCTGAAGAAGAAGATGAGTCACCACCTCCGCAATGAAGTGGAGAACACAAGTCCTGAACAAGCGGCTTGGCAGATGTGTGCTGCTCACAACCGTGTCGCCCGCGTTGGTGGCTACAGTCCTGCCCAATGGGCCCTGGGACGCGACTTGGAGGAGCGTGACAACCTGGCCATTCAAACCGCCCAAGGAGATCCAGCTTCGGAGATGTCACACAACCTTCAAGCTCGACTTCGCGCAGAAGCCACTTACCGCAAGCTCCAGTCCGATGCTAAGATCTCACGGGGCTTGAACTCCCGGCCTCAGAGATCGACACAGTTCTTGCCTGGAGACCTGGTCTACTTCAGGCGATGGAAGGTGCCAGCTCACGCCTATTTGGACAGTCCGTCCATGAAGGTGGCTCGATTCTATGGCCCTGCTCGTGTCCTGGCGGCTGAGACCAAACTCCAATCGGATGGCCTCACCCGAGCTTCCACGAACATAATCTGGATTATCGCAGGAAGCAAACTCAAGAAGGCACACAGCAGCCAATTGAGGCACGCCTCTGAGAGGGAACGCCTCATTGCAAAGGCGACCGAGGCTCCTACGCTTCCCTGGACGTTTTCAGCCCTGAGCAGGAACCTGAGCCAAGGTGAGTACGAGGACCTCACCAAAGAGCCGAAGAAGACTCGCACCTCCGCTACCACAAGAACTGCTACTCCATCTGGTCATCGCAGCCGGAGCCGAGGACCACGTGTTCGAGCTGAACCTTCTGAGGTACCTGGACCTTCTCAAGTACCACCTGACGCTCAACAAGCTCCAGCAGATGAGTCAGAAGAAGAGCTCATTCCAGCTGGTCATGCTGCACCTCCTGACCTTTCAGCCGAACAAGGCCTCGATCAGATCTTGCAGAACCCACCTCCTGACATTGATGCACAGCGACTGCTGGAAGATCCAAGCTATATGCCCCTTGGAGCCGCTCGAGAAGAAGGACTTCAACAAGCTTCGCCGTGACCATGAACAAGCAGAACGGCCGCTCCACGTGAAATATCCCCGAAGCAACACTCCTGCCGCTCCATCAGAAGCACCTTCGCCCGCACTCTGGACTGAAGCCATACTTCGTGCTGGGCGTCATCATTGATGCTCCCGCCAATGAGAGCGAGTGGAAACGGGTTCTCAAAAACCCTTCAAAATTTGCAGCAAAAAGCGTGCAAAAGGGAGCGGAAGTGGCCTGGGGAAAACTCAATCCGGAGCAGAAGAAGGCCATGGGAGAGGCGAAGCAATTAGAGGTCTCTCAATGGGTCAGCAAGAAAGTCTGTGAACGATTTCGAGGCGCAGTACCAGCCGCCAGACTCATGAAAACAAGATGGGTCCTTGTGTTTAAGGCTGTGGACGGGGATGAGAGCAAAGTCAAGTGTAAAGCTCGTATCGTCCTTTTGGGCTTTACGGACCCCGACCTCGGTGAGCTTGAGACCTGCGCTCCAACGCTCTCTCGAAGATCCAGGCAGTTGGTCTGCAACTTGTCCACGCACAGGCGCTGGAAGCAGATCAAGGCGGACGCCAAATCCGCCTTCTTGCAGGGTGGACAAACTCAACGACCAAGGCAGATATTTATCCAACCGGTTGCAGAGTTAGCTCAAAGCCTTGGCATTCCACC